AGGGTTTAGGGTTCTTACTACATATGACTTAAAGGACATGATGTTCCTTAGTTACCAAGGCCACATAAAACCTTGAGAGACCCTCCTTTTTAAACAGCCCTAACGATCCCTAAAGCCTCCTCAACTAAAGGGGTTTGGAGTCTCCGACCTTCTCGAAGCATTGGCATTAGTATGACTATTACTGTGACTATCCGGTACTAATGCCCATACTGTTTCTGTTGCTATGACTACAAGTATTAGCGTCCACTTGCTCGTAGTATTACTGTGGTTTTGCTACTACTACTACTACTACTACTACTACTACTACTACTTCTTCTATTACTACTACTACTACTACTACTACTACTACTACTACTACTACTGCTAACCCGAAACCCTAAAACCAAATCCCTAGACCTAAAGCCCTAAAACTCTGAAGCCCCAAAACCCTAGACCCTTAACGCCCCTAAAGCCCTAAATCCTGCGAGAAGGAGCGCAGCACAGACCCCCGGAGTCGCCATTTAGCACCCGAGAGATCGCTGCAGGTCGCAGCCCGAGGTTTGGCGCTTCGTAGCCTTGAGACCTTTACTAAACCCCTAAAACTCCTGAGCCCCTAAAGCCCCTAAGCCCCTAAGCCCCTAAACCCCTAAACCCCTAAACCCCTAAACCCCTAAACCCCTAAACCCCTAAAGCCCCTAACCCCCAAAAAACCCTAAGCCCCCAAAACCCAAACCCCTAAATCCCTAAATAAAGGATTTCCATTAAAGGAAGCCTTTTAAAGGATTCCTTTAAAGGAGGCAAGTTAAAGGATTTCCTTTAAAGGAGGTCTTTAAGGGCCAGGCCTCTCAGGGCTCCTTTGAAGGAGGCCTTTAAGGCTTCCTTTAAAGGGCTCCTTTAACAGGCTCTTTAGGGGTTTTCTTCAAAGCGGTTGGAGACCTTTTGTAGAGGTTTTAGGGGTCTAGGGTTTAGGGATGTAGGATTTAAGGATTTTTGGGTTGGGTTTAGGGTTCCGGGGTCAAGCGTTTCAGGATTAGAAACCCAGGGCAACGGAGTTGAGGAATGGGGAGCAGTGAACCCTGAACAAGCAATAGTCAGGCCGTCCATCCACATCCCGACCCTATTTTAACTTAGGGCATAATTCTTAAGTTAGGGGCTTTATGAGTCTTTAACCCTAAACCCTTAACCCTGAACCCTATAAACCCTAAACCCTAGAGCCTAAACCCTAGGGATTCAGGGCTTCGCCTTGTGGACGAACTAAGCATCAAAACGACTGGCGTAGATAGAGCCTTGAACCATCAGTAGCAACGCGGTCTATATACCCTAGACCCTAAATCCTAAACCCTAAACCCTGAAATAAACCGCAAAGCCTGCTTGAATTACTCAGGCCTCCGTATTAAGCCCTGAGCCCTTACACATACAACATCCTTCTGCAAATCTTCTAAACACCCTCTCAGACCTCATTAAGGGTTTAGGGTTTAGGGCTCATTAAACTTGCTAAAGTTCCCATAATCCCTAAACCCTAGACCGTAAACCCTAAACCCTAAATAAGCCCTAAATCCTAAACCCTACACCCTAAACCCTAATCCCTAAACCCTCAACCCTAAACCCTAATCTAAACCCTAAACCCTAAACCCTAAACCCATAGTCGAAGCAGCGCGGAGCTGTCCAAACCTCGGGAGTTCTGCATGTCGGAAGATACAGAAGATACAAAAAACACCCAGGGCTGAGAAAGGTTTAGGGTTTAGGGTTTAGGGTTTAGGGTTTAGGGTTTAGGTTCGTCTACGGTTTCCTTTAAGGGTTCCTTTAAGGGTTCCTTTAAGGGTAGTATAGGGCCCTATACCCTAAACCCTAAACCCTAAACCCTATACCCTAAACCCTAAACCCTAAACCCTGATAGGGTTCCCTTTAAGGGTACCATCGAAGGTCCCCCTATAGAGGCGGAGCCCGCCGAGCTTTCTCAAGTGAAGGAACATTTTGGGTTTAGGTTTCAGGTTTTAGGGTTCAGGATTCAGGGTTTAGGGTCTAGGTATATATTAGAGCATCAATACCAATAATTAACAAGCACATACGTGAATAAATAAACCAATGAAAATATGCACAAACAGATGAATAACGAACATATAGCAAACAAGCTAGTACAAATGAGCAGAAGTACTCAATAAGTTAATTTGTAAACATCTGTAGACACAGGGGTTATATAGGGATATGATAGTAAAGTATGCGGAGGCCTATATAATATATAATATATATGTATATGTATGTATATATATATATATATCGGGGGGGTCTGAAAACTGGAATGCAGGTAGGATTGAAGAATTAAGGCTCCCTTGCCTAGGGACTCTCAATTCCCAGACCTTCCGAACTGCCTGAATTAAGGAATGTACCTTACATCATATTACGTAGGGGAGCCTACTATAATTTAGGGTATA